AGTTCGGCCCTTTTGATTTTCTGACTCCAACTCCTTACACATTTCATTGTAATATTTTACTTTGTCATCCTGTGCTGCCTTTTGAAATCTTCTATTCAACTCTTTAGTGTCTTGAAGTCTTCCCTCTGCTTTGGCTTCTCTACGCTGCAGTGCAATTTTCAGAGTCTCTTCTGACATCCATTTTGGTCTTCTCTTCTCTTCCTCTTCTGTCTTTGTAATGAACGTTTGCACTCTTCTTGGATGATACCCTTGATATCCTCCCACAACTCATCTGGTCTTCATTCATTAGTGTTCAAGGCCTCAAACCTGTTCCTGAGATGGTTCTGAAATTCAGGTGGGATGGATTCAAAGTCATATTTTGATGACCCGTGGACTTGGTTTAATTTTCCTCAGCTTCAGCTTGAACTTGCATATGAGTAGTTGGTGGTCTGTTCCACAATCAGCTCCTGGTCTAGTTTTCACAGCTGATATTGAGCATCTCCAGCGGTTCTTTCCACAGATGTAATCAGTCTGATTCCTATGCATACCATCAGGTGAAATCCATGTATATAACCTGTGTTTATGTGTCTTAAAAAATGTATTTGCAATAAGTCATTAATTGTGCAAAATTCAATCATCCTCTCTCCAGCTCCATTTCTGTCACTGAGTCCATGTTTTCCAACTACTGAATCTTCTTCTCTGTTCCCAACTTTTGCATTCCAGTCACCCATTATTATCAATGCATCTTGATTGCATGTTTGATGGATCTCTGACTGTAAAAGTTGGTAAAAATCTTCTATATCCTCTTCCTTGGCTCTGGTTGTTGGTGCATATATTTGAATGATAGTGTTATTCACTGGCCTTCCTTGTATGCGTATGGATATTATCCTGTCACTCACAATACTGTACTTCAAGATGGATCTAGCAATGGCTTTCTTAACTATAAAAGCAACTCCATTTTTCCTCACCTTTTCATCTCCAGAGTAATATATGATCATCTGACTCAAAATGCCCCATGCCAGTCCATCTCATCTCCCCGATGCCTAGCATGTCAATATTTATGTGTTCCATTTCTTCCTTAACAAGATCTAATTTTCCTACATTCATGGTTCTCACATTCCGTGTCCCAATCATTAGTGTCTGCTTACAACTGTCCCTCATCCTTTGTATTTCCATATCTGAAAGCTCAGCCTCAGTTGTTCTTTCTGTTATCTACATGTGTTATCTACATGTGTTCTTTAGGGTTTTCGGAGGCCTGCTATTTCAGAAGTGGATGGCCAATCTTTATTCCTAGTCTGTCTTAATCTGAATGTTTAGAGACAGACCAGCATTTTACAGAAAAGTGAAGGATGAGCAGGGAGTTCTGGTGGCCTAGTGTTAAGAAGCTGCTCTGCAGTCCTGAAGGCATGTGGTTCAAATCTACCAGCTGCTCCACGGGAGGGTAGGCAGTGTTCTCCTATGCAGTTAACTTCCTCTGAAAATCTGCCAGAAGATCAGCTATGGGTCAGTTTCAGCTCGACCCAACACAACAGCATCTTTATGAGCCTTTGGGATGGCAAGGGGGATTGGCAGTAGGCATTCTTCCCTGAAGAGTGGAAGAACTTGGAAAGAGAGCAGGAACTTACTTGTAAGTTATGGCCATTACAAGCAGGGGGTTGATGTGAAACGCTGAGAGGGAGGGGTTAACTGAAAGTGTTCGTGTTTGTCTAGTTCACTTCAGGAGGGAGCATCCATGTCCCCTTCTCCGAGCACGTTTCTGGGCAAAGGTGCGGCAGACAAGCACAGTGTGGGAGCATCCAGTTCCTTCTGACCTGATGACTAAGCAGTTTTCTGAAGTGAACTGGAGTTCCTCAGTAAAATTTCCTACTGAGAAGCATAATGACCAGCTGTCACCATTTTCAATTTCTCAACTGTCAGTACTATTCTCATTGTCATTCGGCCTTCTGATTCCTCTTCCTTCTCTAGGCAGTTCCATTAACAGGAATTATTTCCTAGACCAGCTGAAAAAAATCTAGTACCTAGTCCTGCAGAGCTCTCGACCTTAGAACTCTGTCAGGACTCTACAGTCTTGGATATTCCCCAGCTCCCCTTTCGGCAGCAAATGGCTTTGTATGAATGTGTCCAGCAATAACTTCTTGTACTTAAGTCGTTTAATTCCACGGAACGTGGGCAGCTCCTTCAGTATGGCGAGAGGGGGGATGGCTCACAGTAACCAGAGCTGCAGGAAGAACAACGAGGGAACCTCTCCCCACTTTGTGAGCAGCCCAGCTCCTCTCACCCCGGTGGCCTGATTGTGTCTTTACAACACGAGATCCTTACCTCGTCTGTTCCTGTCCACCTTCTCTCTGCCCTTATCCTTGGGGGCAGCTCGTCTGTGGTATGACTCAGCTACCTCAGGAGTCATCTTGTGGCAGCTCCTCAGCTTTATTTGAGAAAAGTAACTCTAAAACCATCAAGTGACTCCCTCAGGATCACACAGCTGGTTGGAGGTGTAGCCCAGACTAATGCTCAAGTCTTCCCTTTTTTTAACTTTTCTCATAATCTGAGTAGAAATTTACTCACTTCACCAACTGGTATTGCATTCACTGTTCATACATATTTTGTTTATAATGGCAATTACACTCTCACATATTGTAATCATCACTCCTCCCACTGTCTCTTCGTCCTCCCATCCTCTGCTTTCTGACTGACCTTTATCCCCAGACAAATGCTGCCTCATGATTGTGTTTGTTTGGTTGGTTCTTCTGGGGGCAGAGTACCCCCCCCTGGCGTTGTAGTTCTCATCTTCTGAATCTCTTGTATGGCTGAGATTTCTGCCTAAGTATTGAGTTTGGTTCCAGAATCAAAAAGCCAACACAGTGTCAGGGTTCCGCCCACCCCTTCAAACCAGTAAACCTGGCACACTTATAATATGGAGTAACAGTCTGCATTCATCTCCCACTCTGTCTAGGAGTCGGCAACAGTGGTGGGACACCATTGAGTATTTCTGATCCAAGCATCAGGGAAGTTGAGAGTCTCGAGGTCTGTTAGTGCCTTGGACTAATTGTTTTCATGCATCTTTGATTTTCTTTCTTCTTCTTTGCTTCAGACAGTGAGTAAAAGTCAAGTTTTGTGACTGAATTTTTTTGCTACACCACCTTGCCCTTTGCACTGCTCTGATATTTGACTTAGGATATCTGTGGCAAATATAGGGAAGTAACAGAGGTAAGTAAGAGATCAAGTGCAGAAAAAATTCTAAGAAAAGCAGCTAACAAATGAAGTCATGGAAATAAAAAAAAACATAGCTCATTATATAGGGGTTTTTTAAGTTTACATTACTTCTAGATAGATTTTATCTGATATTCACAAATAGTATCATTGCTGACTGATTACTAGAAACTTATCTCTGTCTTTCCACTGAGTTTTAGTATAAACAATAATTGTAATATATGGCCAACCACAGGTAGACCAAGTTTGAAAACAGATGAGAAAGGAGGCAGTGGAAATGGCCTAGTCCTTCCTGCCTTGTCTTTCATGAGAATCCAATTTTTACACAATTGCTGCTGTTTTACAGTAAATGTCAGAGAAGAAAAATGGCCTAGAGAATAGATGTTCTGTTTTGGTCCAGAGGGGAAAAGCCGCTCAATAACCCTGTGCTGTGGGGTCACTGCTTATCCCAGGGGTCACAGGCCGGAAGACAAGGTGGCTGGTGCGAAACCAGATCAGAGAAGAGGTGACACAGCACCAGGCGCCCATTTTCGTTCACCAGGAACCTGCTTCCCTTGCCTTGTTGCTGTTACGTGGAGTCAGACCTGAGGACTCATGTATAACCTGAAGGAAACATCACCAAGCCCTGCCTCACCTTCATGGTCAAGTTCATTGTTGTGGCCACCAAGTTGCATGCTTTGCAGCCTACCTTCCAGTATTGTATTGGACTATGTTCTCTTCTGATCCATAGGGTTTTCATTAACTGATTTTCAGAAGTAGCTTACCAGGCCTTTCTTCCTAGTCTGTCTTAGGAAGCTCCTGAGAAGCCTGTCAGCCAGGGACAGACCCCATATTGTTGTTGCTGTTTCACCATAGAGTCAGAACCAATCCATAGCCTACCCTCTGGCACGTTTTCAGAGGCAGTTAATCACACAGGAGGAGATTGCCCATTTTTCTCTTACAGAACACCTGATGGCCTCGAACCGTGTGCCTTTGAGATTGCAGTACAGCTTCTTGCCACTAGGCCACCAGAGTAGTAGAACTCACTGGTATTCAAAATATCAGTGCTATAACTGCTGGTATTATAGGAACACACCAAGGCTACTACAGCATGACACAGTAAACTGACAGGCAATAGTAGTCCCCTGTCTCAGAAGCTTTGAATATATGAACGTCTCTCATGACTTACCCTCCGGGCCTGCTGCCAGCCCTCTGCTGTGCACTCTGGTCCTGAGAAAGTCAGCTGGCAGAAGTGCTTAGCTATCAGTCGGTAACTGGAGGGTGAAGCCTTGGTGTACTTCCTTCACTGACAAGCCTCCTGTTCTTGCCTCCTTTTCTACTTGCTGCCTTTTTCCTTGACATTTTATTAACATGTGCTTTCCCAGACCAAACCATGCCCACCATCATCAAGTCATTCCTGTCTCATAGGGACCCTACAGGGGTGTCCAGGGCTGTAACTCTTCAAAGAAGCCACTGACACATCCTTATCCACAGAGCAGCTGTTGGAGTCAAACCATCAGCCTTTCAGTTGCTAGTCAAGCACTTTAACCACTCTACAATTAAGAATTCCATATTTTCTTTCTGATGAGAAAATTGCCAGAAAGGACTATAGTGATGGCAGACTTTTAACTCACTGTATTACTAAAGTGGATCAATAGAATGGAGCCAGAGGTGAAAAGGAGTTGTGCATAAAAATGGCATTATTGGTTTCTTAAAAGTGACTTGAGTAAAGTTGAAAACTTGAATTTAACTGAGCTATTTCCCCCCTGCTGCAGAGAAAGCAGAGTGAAAACTCCTCGGCCCTGCTAACCCAACACTGTCCTTTCTTCTTGCAGTGACCATGCAGCAAGTGGCCAGGACCGTGGCCAAGGTGGAGCTCTCGGACCACGTGTGCGATGTGGTGTTTGCTCTCTTTGACTGCGATGGTGAGTGAGGCCTCCAGGGGCAGCAGGGGCAGCGTCCTGACACGGACACACCCAAGCTGGGGTCTGGTTTGTGTCTTCTTCCAGCTTGCCTAAACTCATCTTAGTTCCTTAGGATCCTAAAAAAAATGGAAACAGAAATATTAGACTTATCTTGCTGCTATGTAGACTGGAAGGATGACACGGGACCAGGCGGTGTCTTGCTCTGTTGTATGTAGAATGGCTGGAAGTCAGAACAGACACAGCACCCAACAACAACAAAGAGAAGCTGGTACCAGCTGCCTCAGCTCCCGGAGCACGATGCGTTCCACAGAGTGCCCTTTGGTGTCTGTGGAGAGCTCATTAGTTCTTCCGGTTATGCTCTGGCATAGTTATCCCTCAGTTCTTTGTGGTTTATAAAATAACAACACTGTTAAACCATGACATGAAAGCACAATTTTCTTTTTTCTTTTTCTCTCTCTCTTTAGTGCTTACTATGAGCCAGGCACTGCTTATTTAATCATCTGATGGAGGGATTATTATTAACTGCATTTTATGGGTGTTAAAACTGAGTCTCAGAGAGGTTCCCAGGATTATCAAGGTGGTGGCCAGGATTTGAGCCAAAGCTGTGGTGCCTTCTCTGTGCTCTGTGAACACACTGCTCATCTTGCAGCCATGATTTGTTGTTCATCATCCTCTCGGAGGCTGGGCTAATAGAATTTAGGAAGTAACTCAAAAGGTTTTGTAAAATCCTTCCCTTTCAGTCTCAGCCTAATGAATCACTCTGGCCTCGTCATTCTGTAATGTGGTTCAGGTTTTTCTATGTTGATGTATATCATGCTAACTCTATGTGTATGACTTAACTTTCCTAGTACATTGTGAGCTTTTGAAGGATAGGTACAAGCATTGAACCTCCAGCACATCAATGCCTAAGTTCTATAAATCTCTGTCCTAAACCCACAACCCAAGGGCTGATACAGAGAAAGTCGGGAGCTGACCTCATCCTTAGGTAAAGTGAGTTATTCTCCAGAGCTAAGAGCAGCTGTCCAGCTGGATACCAGCAGTCACATGTGGCTGCTTCCATTCAAATTAATAAAATTTTCTAAAGTTAACAACTCATTTCTTCAGTCTCTCTAGTCATGTTTCACATGAGGCCACCAGCTATAATACTGGACAGTGGGGACACGAGTCATCACCACTGTCACAGGGAGATCTTGAGACAGCATCACTGTGGAGAACTTTCTTTTTCACTCTCTGAACTTCTAGGTAGGGAGTTCCAGTGGGCAACTCAAAGGTGAGCAGTTCAAATCCACCAGCTACTCCTTGGGAGAAAGCTGGGAAGTTTCCTACCATGTGATTTACAACCTCTGAAAACCTGCTGGAGGGTCAGCTGTGAGTCAATTCCAACAGTCTCCTTCTTAGCATTCCTCTCTCATCAGAAAGAAAACACGGAACGCTTGTGGTGCAGTAACTCAATGCAAGTTAAAGTACTTGACTGCCAACCAAAAGGTTCATGGTTTGAATCCAGCAGCTGCTCTGTGGGAGAAAGCTGTGGCAGTTTGCTTCCAATTCAAGTGGCAGTAAATTTTGAGACCTGGGTGGTTTGCATTTTTCCTCTCCCCCAAAGCAAGCCTTTATTTTTATCATTTTAAAGCTGTACCTGCATTTGAGGCCCCATCGTAGAGCTGGTCCCTGAGAGGAGACTGTGGGGCCAGAGCAGCCAGCCTCTCCTCAGAGTCCTGGGGAAAGGATGTTTGATTTTCCAGCCACTTAGAAGGAGACTCTCACGGTCCACTTGACTCACCTTAGGAAAGTCACTTACTGCCTCCAGAAGAAAAAGAAGTATATTCACTAAGAAGCCATTGTTACTCCTACAATTGCATGTTCTTAGGTCAAAATGCCAGAAAGCCAGGAATTAGAATTTCTAACCAGGCTTGTAAATCACAGAATGGTAGTGTTTTTACATTCATGGGTCACACATGCACATAAATGATGCACAGTCACATTTCTGGTTCTTTGTTAACATAATCCACAGTGGTCAGCTGTGTCTTTAAGGAAGCAAAAAGCCGATCTCATAGGAGCTGGCATAAAATGAACTCAAGTTTTTTTCCGTTTTTCAAGCTTCTTTTTATGTAAAGTCTTACAAATCTTCTTCAGACTTTTTACTGTTCCTTTAATTACATTCTTGATAATAAATTTTATTGATTATTTTTCAGCTAAGCCAGGCTAACATTTAACTTTTTATACAGAAGTGTGTTGTACATACAGATAAGTACAAATACTAGAAATGGAAAGCTTGGTGAATTTTAAAGACAGAATGTGCTTCTGACCAGTATCCTCCCATTGCCAGGACCAAGGCCCCACTACCAAGGTCACTTCCTTCCTCTGGTAGCCACTTTCTGAGCTTCTAGCTCCATCGATTAGGGAGCTGGGGTGGCCTTGTGGCAAGAAGCTGTACTTCAATCCCAAAGGCACATGGTTTGAATCCACCAGCTGCTGTGTAGGAGGATGGACAGTCTCTTCCCATACAATTTACTGCTTCTGAAAACCCGCTGGCAGAGTCACTTGTAGGTTGGTTCCTACTCAGTGGCACACAGCAGCAGCTCCAGCGATCGCCTGTTCCTGGTAGGCGTGCTTGGCTGTTTTAGAATCTTGCTGTGAGGTGTCCTACCTGGGGCTCCTCAGCCAGAGTACATGAGCTAGATTAGCTTTTCGGAAACCTGCAGAAATAAACCACCTTCCCACCCTCCTCCCCACAGACTCCTCATTAGTGAGAGTGGTTCGTAGCAGACTTTGCTTTCTCCTGAGCTCTTTCTCTTTGTCAAAGGGGACGGTTTCTCTGCTGTTCACAGCTCCCAGGCCTCTCGGGCTCCTCAGAATTCCTCGCTAACAGCTAGGATGGCAGGCCATGGGGGAGCTGAACCAGAAAGGTCAGACTTAGATCTTGATTCTACCAGGAAAACCCCTCATCATCTTTTATCTGTGTTACCAACTCACCCCTTACCCGGCTCTGCTACTCCAGTGCCAACACCCTCTGATCCATCCTCACACATGCGGCCAGAGAAATCAGCCCAAAGTGCACATCTGACCACATTGAACTCCTCTGCTGCCAGTCTTCCTGATGCTACGTTGCCAAGAATATGAACTGCAAGGCCTTTGTAAAAGTGTGGACACGTGTCTACAGGCCAGGGGGCCTGTCTCCTGCCTGCCTCTTCAGCTCGCTCACCATTTGGCCTCCATGCCTCCTGCCATAGCTGACTGCTGAGTCCCCACAGCCTCTTGCCTTCACTGTTGCTGCTGCCAGAACCTGGGGGGCCTTACCCATCTCACTCCCCTTCACACAGCCAGCCCTGCTCTCTCCCTTTGGGATTCATCCCAGAAGTGTCACCTGTGGTAGCCCTCACTGACCTGTCCAAGCACTGCCCCTCCGAGGTCAGATGTTCTCCTCTGTGCCGCATGGCATGCTCTGCTCACCTCCTGGATCACTTGCCTCTCTGTTGAGGTCATTCTTTATCTCCTCCATGACTCAGGAGTATGTCCCAGGACAAAGCCAGAGTCTTATTTATCTCTTTAATCTTAACGCCTAATGCAAGACCTGGTATATAGTGAAGGTGGTGGTGGTGAATGCCATCAAGTCAGAACCACTCATAGCTACACCTCTAGCGGGTTTTCAAAGGCTGAACATCACACGAGAGGAGATTGCTCATCTTTCTCTTGTGGAGCAAAAGGTGGATTTGAACTGAGTGCCTATGAGTTAGCAGCACAGCTCCTTACAACTGGACCATCAGAGCTCCCTCATTATTTAATGAGATACTGTGACACTCCACTGAACTGTCACTGAGTTTCCGTCAGAAAAATAAAAGGCAGAGCAGTTCCTTTTGAGCGTGGCTTACAGAAGACCCTGGGCTTTGGAAGGTGGTGTGAACAGTAGTGATTTCTTGGTGGCTTGGCTCCAAGGCCTCCACTAATCACTGCTCCTTTTGCCTCTTCCTGTAGGTAATGGTGAGCTGAGCAATAAAGAATTTGTTTCCATCATGAAGCAGCGGCTGATGAGAGGCCTGGAGAAGCCTAAAGACATGGGCTTCACCCGCCTCATGCAGGCCATGTGGAAGTGTGCGCAGGAAGCTGCCTGGGACTTCGCTTTGCCCAAGCAGTAACCCAGAACTGCAAGAGGGGCACCCCGCTACCCACGCACCCTAGACTTCCTTGAGCAGAGCCTGGGCACAGTCCTTTCTGCGACCGCTTCTGGGAGCGGTGCTTCCATCTCCCCACCCCTGGAAGAGCTGTGAGATTCCTCCAATCCTACCATCCCACCTGAACCAGTGTTCCGCATCCCACCCACCCACGCCTGGGGAAGAGCCTCGGGATTCCCCAGCTCCCAGTCCTCCATCCCATTGGGGTTCAACCCACAAGGTCTCAGAAATGGGAACCAGTGCTCCCATCCCCCCACCCCCAGAAGCGCCTCAGGATTCCCCCAGCTCCCTGCCCCCTCAGCCCCCCCCCCAGTGGTTCTCAGAAGTAGTCCGAAAGCCCGGCCCTTTGGCACCTGCCACAGCATGACCATTCAGCACCCTGAAGAGGGTGGGGGTGCCCATCACGTCTCCCCTGGAGGCAGCCAGATTACCAGTTGGTATTGCTGTAGATTTATACTAATGAGAACATTTTGGATGTTGGGGGTTTTTTTTTTCCCTCCTGCTGGTACTTTCAAGCTACAAATTTGAAAAACCTCTAGCCAGCAAAAGAAAGTCGGTGATAAATGATAATGAGGGTGACTCTGCAGCCCGAGCTGGGGGACGCCTGGGCGAGTGGAGGGATGTGCTGTCAGCCCCAGGCAGCGGCCCTGGGACCTGCTCCAGAGGTTGATGTCCACAGTGGGAATTTAGAGCCACTCTTAGCGCTCTCTCCACTCTGCTCCTGTCCCCTCAGCATCCCCACAAAGACGCCCCCACAGCTCTGAGCTTGATGAGCTGTGGTGACTGGGTCCTTGTTCCCCAAGTGCCAGCCTCTGGAAGGTGCCATGGATACTGAGGTGGGTGGAGCACTGTGCCCTCTGTCGGAGGCACTTGTAAAATATCACTTTAATTAAACCAGTTTGCAATAAACCCCCTAAAGGCGCCTGTCTCCTTTATTTCAGGACCTTCCTGTGCCCTTTTCATCCCACCTCCCACAGGGTTTAAGAGCCTGCCAGCAGTAGACCTGTTTTCTTCCCCCCAGACTGCAGTTCCCTGATGAAAGGCAGCTTTTGGTACAAACAGAAAAGGATGGCATTTGGTGCTTTGTGACAGCATGTCCCACACAGCTGGGTTAGCGTTTCTTTCTGGGACAAGCAGTCATTGGTTATTTGTGCCCCACAATGAGGAGTGTGTGAGGGCTCATCCGAGAAGGTGATTGAGTTGTGTGGATTGAGTAATGGCTCCCAAAACATGTGCTGACTGCGCTGATGTTCTGGGTGTAATGATGTCATCCGTGATGTGGTGATATCAGCAGACCTAATCAAAGGTAAAATGCAGCACCCTTAAGCCAGTCGCAGCTCTGATGTGAGGGAAATTCACCTGAAATGTGGCCTGCAACGTTGTTTATTTTACAAGAAATACAAGAAGAAAGAATCAAGCAAAGGTGGGGAGAAACTTGAGGCCACCAGGACAGAAGAGCCAGGAGTGAAGGGGCATGGCCTTTGGATCATGACTCCTTCGCTAGAAGCTTCTAGAACCAGGAAGCAGTAAACGCCTTCCCCTAGAGCCAACACCCTGAGTGTGGACTTCCAGCCTCCCACACCATGAGCAAGTAAATCTGTATGTTTGTTGAAGGTATCCACTTGAGTCTGTTACAGCAGCACTTGCTAAGACAGTGACCTGTGTTTTAAGAACCAGAGCAGTCAATGTTGTATGAAGGTCCTGGTTATGACTTAAAACCACCACTCCCTCACTGTAACTTAAGCAAGTAGTTTTCTGTTGTAAAATGGTAGGTAAGGGCTGAGCTCAGCAGGCTCTAAAGTTTCTTCTAGGTCGGGAGCTGAAGTTCCCGCTCTCCCTGGAATTCACACAGCCCCGGGCCTGCGGGTGAGTGCCCCGACATAGCAGTGTCATGAGGCTGGTGTGACAACACAACAAAAGCCCAGTGTACTTGTGAGGACTCTGGAGAGGGCTGGACTTGGGCTTGGGGCTCCACAAGGAAGGTTCCAGGCCCAGCATTTCCTTCAGGGTGAGCTGAGACCCTTGCTAAGACCTGTGCCTTCCTGGGAGAAGATTGAATTATCCAGAGGTAGCCTACCTCGTCTGCTGCATTTCTGTCACTGAGCTTGTATTTTCCAACTACTGTCCCTTATTCACTGTTTCCTACATTTGTATCCCAGTCACCAATTAATGCATCCTGATTGCATGTTCTGTCAATTTCAGACTGCAAAATTTGGTAAAAATTTTCAATTTTTTCCTCTTTGGCTCTAGATGTAGGAGCATATATTTGAATAATAGTCATATTAACAGGTCTTCCTTCTTGTGTGTATCACAACATTGTATTTCAGGATAGAACTAGAAATTGACTTTTTTTTGTGATTAGGTATTTTTTTTATTTCAGTGAACATTTACAAAGATTTTGGATTTCCATTCATTCACTGTTGTGCTTTTCTCCCCACCCACCCCACCCCCAGCCCAGTTCGCTCTGCTCTTTGAAAAGTAAAAGAAAAATGTCTTCATTGGTATATAATCCCCCCGCCCCC